AGCACAAGAAACACCACCACGCTTCCACCAATCTTCTTGTATACACAGTGCTCATTCAGACATTGGGTGAATCCATATGACTGGATTACCTCATCAAACCGAATATTCCAAGATCTTGAAGCTTGCTTCAGTCCATAAATGGACCGGTTAAGCTTACAAACTAAGCGCTCATGCCCTCTTACAATGAACCCTTCTGGTTGCTGCATATAGATGTCTTCCTGAAGGTTCCCATTAAAGAAAGCCATCTTAACATCCATCTGCCAGACTTCATAATCCATATGAGTGGCTACAGCTAAGAGAATCCGAATGGATTTAAGCATAGCTACTGGCGAAAAGGTTTCATCATAATCGATACCCTCTTTCTGGGTATAACCTTTCGCAACAAGCCTAGCTTTAAAGGTTTCTACCTTTCCATCTGATCCCCTCTTTCTCTTGTAAACCCACTTGCATCCAATGGGACGTATCCCATCAGGTGGTTCTACAAGATCCCAGACCTGATTGGTGTCCATAGACCCCATCTCAGCTTTCATTGCAACCTTCCACGAATTTGCATCTCTATCTTGGAGTGCCTCGTCATAAGTTCTTGGGTCCGATTCTAGGTCTCCTGGAACTGAGGCCGATAACTCTCCAAGACCTATCCATCGGTCGGGTTGTGTAGAAACCCTCCCACTACGACGAGGTACCGTCTGTACTGGCACACTATCAGTGTTACGTGTTGCATACTATGTGATGTATCTACTTGCGCACTCGGTGGGGAACTATCGATATCTCTCCCTAACTCCTCTAGGACAAGTTTACTACTGGGCTTATGATCTATGATATAGTATTCTTCCAAGAATCTAGCGTTCATATTAACGATCACCTTCTGATCCTTAGGACTATAAAATAAACCACCTTTCGTTTCCTTGGAGTAGCCGACAAACAGTCTCACTTCTGATCGTTTCTCCAACTTGCCAGCCTCCTGCACTAAGACATGTGCAGGGCAACCCCAAATTCGAATTTGTGAGAAACTAGGCTTGCGTCGTTTCCACAACTCATAAGGAGTACTGTCTACTGATTTTGAAGGAACAGAATTCAGAA